AATTCAATCCCTGGTACAAAAAAAAAAAAAAAAAAAAGATTTAACAGAATTGAAGGGTGACTATACAACTAATGATGTTATCATTCTTCATAGTCTGGCTACATAGTTTGCTTAAAATATGTTAAAAAGAATGCTAATGCACGCTGTTAGTAAAACAGAGAACTAGGAACCTATACCTTTACAGGTCCTCATTTTTTTAAGGAAATACTAAGTTAACAGCAATATGTGCCCCAAAATATCCTTCTGGGAACACTAGAAATTAATCAAGAGGTGGCTACACCCCAATGAATGCATAAACAAGAGTAAAGACAGCACTAAGGAAGGTAAGAGAATTCAAATTTTGTTTGACCTAGGCCATCCAAATCCTGGCTCTTTCCCAGCATTCTGGTTTACCTTGGGTCTGCCTGAAAAACCAGTTGCTGACTTGCCTGCCTCAGAGCATTTAAAAAGAAGACTGACACAACACTTTGAAGGCCAGTAAAATAGAAACAACCTCCATCATGTGTTACAGCAGTAGGCTCTAGTTCTGAAGGCAAGCACTAGGGAGCAAGAGATCAAGGGCAGAGGAATATAGCAAACCTGGAACCAAAAGATCCTAAGACAAAAGAGAAAAACTGCCAGGGATTTAGCTCAGTGGTTTCGCTGCCTGCTGCGCAAGGGCAAGGACCCGAGTTCGATCCCCAATACCAAAAAAAAAAAGAGAGAAAAACAGAAACACCTATATAGGGATTGGGGATGTAGTTCATAGTATATAGTATTTGCCTAACATGCATAAGGTTCTGCGAAAATCCCCAGCAGGGAGGGGACAGGGCAGGGAGACAGAGAGAGGAGGAGAGAGGAGGGGAGGAGAGAGGAGGGGAGCAGAGGGAAGAGGAGGAAAAAGGAAGGAGGAAAAGTAGAGATCTATATACACTAGGATAAAAGCACATTCACGACCTCAAAGAAAACACACCCCAGAAAACGTAGGAAAAGTCCTAGAACCTCTAGCCAGGCTGACTGATAAACATGTTCCCTTTCATGAAGCCAGCCCAAGACAAAAGAGAGGTAGTTGTTTCTTTCAAATGTCCAATTTTAAACAAAAGATCACAAGGCATAAAAATAAAGAGGAAAACATGATTCAACAGAGGAACAAAAATAGCTCCCAAAACCAATCCTAAAAAAACAGATCCATGAGCTGGGCATGGTGGTATATTCCTACAGTCTCAGCACTCAAGAGGCTAAGGCAGGAGGGTAGTGATTTGAGACCACCCTGAACTTTTAAGACCCTGTCTCAAAATACAAAAAAAAAAAAATCTATGATCAGCCCAGAAAATATATAAATTGTTCCAAAGTTACCCAGTGAATTAAAAAACACTGGCAAACAACTAACAAAATCAGGAAAATGATGCATGAAATTAGACTTATCAACAAGGAGACAGAAATAGTCTTTTAAAATGGAAGTTCTGGAGCTGGAAAATATAAAAACTAAATCAAGAAGCTGACTAGCAATTTCAACAGCAGATTGGATCAGGTAAAAAAAAAAAAAAAGGTAAACTTGAACACAGGCCATTTGAAGTCATTGTCAGATGGACAAAATGCAAATACAATTGAGCTTGGAGGCATAGGTAACAGTGATAAAGCATGTGCTTAAATAAGCAAGATTGAATCCCCAGCACCTACCCCCAAAGTAGAATTAAGAAAAGTGAAGACAGCTGAAGTGACTTATGGGCTACCATCAAGGTGACCCATATGTATTACAGAGGTACCGGAAAAAGAGAAAAAGAGCAGATTTGAATAATTAATGGTAGAAAACTCTCCAAATCTGGGAAAAAACCTGACATACAAATTCAAGAAGCTCAAGAAATTCTAACTAGGATAAACCCAGAGACTCACAATGAGACACATTATAATCAAACTGTCAAAAGTCAAAAACAAAAAGAAAATCTTAAAAGCAACAAGAAAAAAGTGAATTCATTACATATGTAAGAGCTCCCATAAGATTATCACAAGATTTCTCAGCACAAATCTTGCATGCCAAAAGGGCATGAAATAGTACAGTCAAAACACTGACAGAGAAAAACTGTAAATAAGATTACTATATTTATCAAAATTGCCCTTCAAAAGTGAGAAAGAGCCAGGTGTGGTGGCACAGGGCTATAATCCCAGCACTGAAGCTGAAGCAGGATTGCCACGGGTTCCAGGCCAGCCTGGGCTACATAATGAGTCCAAGGTCAGCCTGAACTAAACAGTGAGACCCTGTGCCAAAAAAAAAAAAACAAGCCGGGCGTGGAGGCACATGCCTGACATTTCAGCACTTGGGAGTCTGAAGCAAGAGGATCATCATGAGTTCGAGGCCAGCCTAGGCTACAGAGTGAGTTTAGGGCCAGCCTGAATTACAAAGCGAGGCCCTGCCTCAAAAATAAAAGAGGAAGGAAGCAGGCATGGTAGCACATCCCAGCTATTCAGGAGGGCAAGGCAGGAAGATCACAAATCGAAGGCCAATTTAGCAAGAAATTATCTCCAAATAAATTTTTTAAAGCTGGGAATATAGCTCAGTGGCTCATTGGTGGAGTGCTTGACAGTGTGAGAAGACCCTGCTTTCAATCCCTAGAGTGCAGGGCAAGGAGGGATTAAGACCTTCTTTGAAAAGTAAAACCAGAAGGAAAACCAGACTCAATGCCACACGTCTGTAATCCCAGCACTTTCCCAAGGCAGGGAGAATCCAAAGTTTGAGCCCATTCTGTTTTTTGTTTTTGAGCAAGACCCTGTCTCAAGATACAGTAGAAAAGGGTGCCAATGTAGCTCAGTCCAATGCTCAGTCCCATGAAGGAAAGGCTTGGAAAAGAAAGGGGAAAAGGAAAAGGAAAGAAAAACTACCACATGCTACAACATAGATGAACCTTGAGGACATTATAGTAAGTGACATAAGTCTATCAAAAAAAACCACTATGATTTGATTTACATGAGATATATGAAGTAGTCAAACTCACAAAAACAGAATAGTCTGGGAGTCACCAGAGCCTTTGTGGGAGGGGAAAGTGGGGAAGAATTACTTACTAAATACAGAGTTTCAATTGTGCAAAATGATAACAAAATCCTGGAGAATGGTTGCCCAACAATGTGAATATATGTAACACTACTGAACTATAAACTTAGAAGTGACTAAAAGGGTAGATTTTATGTGTTTCTGATCACAAAAGTTTCTCTTTAAAAAATGATGAAGTGTGAAACAACAAAATACTAAATCAAGAACAAAAGTTCTATAAACACACAAAAATAAAATATGAAAATTTTTTTAAAATAAA